AACACGACAAATACTGTCGCAGATGAACAGCAGCCTTCTACCAGTAGAACAATTTCCCATTCTGTAAATAGAATAACCAATGATTCATCCAATGATGCAAAATCCTCTAACAAAAATAGCGGAAATGCTGCTACCGATAAACTTCAAGCCCTTGAAACATCATTATATAATATCACACCTCTTCCTACAATACACAATAGAGCAAATAAAAGGTAAGTTAATAGAAAGAAACAGACATCTACAATACTAACATCAACACCAATGAAAGATTTTTTTTTAAGAAAAACATAAGAAGAAGAATGAAAAAATTGAAAAATCGAAAACCACTAAAATCAAAGAGGAAAAAGTACGCAAAGTGACAAAGAAGGTCAAATTTGATGACAGTTCTAGTGAAGATTCAGATGTCAGCATGACTGGAATTACTGATGACAATGAACCTGACGAGATAGGAGATATGCAAGATATGGAAAATAATATCTGCTTCCTTTGTGGCGAATTCGGTCGAGATCGAGAGTTGTGGTTTCGTTGCGTAATTTGCGGAGGCTGGGCGCACGCAGAATGTAGCGGAGTTACTAAGGCTGAGAATTATGTGTGCGACAACTGTCAGTGAAAGGATTTTTATTTTTCATTCTTAGTTTTAACTGCTATTTTAACTTTTTGACGTAATTTGTGAATTTTGTTTGGAGTTTAATGTTTATTTTATTCATTTGTTCAATAAATATTTTAATATTAGTTGCTGTTTAGTGTTAATCTATATTATAACTATCTGTAAATTAATGATCGCCATTACCCCATAGGTGTGGGTAATTGCGCTCAAGGCACTAATTATATTTTGTTGTTCTAACCAACAAACATAAATAATTTTAGTGCAGTTTTCTTAATCAAATGCTAGAAGAATAAGTATCCTTTACTTAAATTAATTTTCAAGGCTTTTTGAATGAAGTAAGTAAATTAAAAACAAGTTTTGGCTTAAGTGAGCGCAGTTCCCCCCTGCTCCCTTATTAGATTAAATTTACTTACAATATTAAATTATTCTAGCTTTATTTCTATCATATCAAATTTTTAATAAATTGGTTACAATTTTATTAAAGAAGTATACATTAATCATAAATATTTCTGTTTTACATTTAAACTTACCTTAAATATTCCTAAAAAAAATCGAAGAAAAAAATTTTCTTTAAAATCTTCTTAAAAAAAAATACATAAAAAAAGGGCCAGAGATATAGTTAACAGCTCCTTCCACCTCCCTTCAGCTCCCGCGAGTTTCAAAGTCGGCCGATTTTAAAGATCACATTTTGAAGCTTTGTGGACGATTCCATTTTAGAATTTGGTAGATACTTTAAAATTATAAAGTATGTTCTTTCAAATAGCGCTAATTAGATTTCTTAATTGTTATGAACAAAGTTGCTATGAATTAAATAAAAAAAGAGGCTAAGTTTGTCCCAAATTATTTTAGAACAATTTTTTTTCTTTTAAATTTGTAAAAACATTAAGGCTTTTTAAATATAAAAAAATAATATTATTACTGACAATGGTTAAAAAGGTATTCTAATTGTTATAAGCAAAAAATGTTTCTACAAATTATTTTGCAATATTTAAAATTTATTTTCTTAATTTTTTAAATGCAAATAATAGAACAAGTCTTCTTCTAGAAACAACTACCCTTATAATTATCAAAACTATATAATTTTTTGACTTATATTGTTGCAAAAAAATGAATTTGGGTTAAACAAACAAAATAACTTTTAAACTATTTAACCGATCATTGACCTTTGATCATTAATCTTTGAAATTTTGACCTATATACCACTTAGTAACAAATAAGGATAGAAACATTTAGAAAACGCAATTTTAAAGGCTTTTATAGGACTTGCAAGTTTCTTTTCTTCTAAAATTTGTTTAAAATGCTTCACTTTTTGCTGATAGACAAAAAAAAATTTTTTCGTTTTTTGACCCTAATTTGTTAATAAAAAATTAAGTCCAACAAATCGACTGCAGGAAACATATAGGTTTTTGTTACAGAGGTCAATACTACTCAAAATAACTGTCGTTGGCCTGGCCGGACAAGTGTCAAAAACAGGCTTTTTTTCCTTATTTCCCTGGCCTAAAGGCGAAAAGCTCGGGTTCGTTCGGGAAATATTGTCATCAGATTTCATGAGATACCCAAAAATAAGGATCAAGAGATCACTCAGGAGAAAAATTGTTAAAATTTTTTGAAACAATTGTTTACAACGAATTATTTTTTCAATTTTTTGGAACATTCCGAACAAAATAGGTCTCTTCTATTTTTTTTTCTGTAAACTTCAATCATTTTCCAGCTATCAATAATGTTAAACTGAGAAAAACGCAAAATTACGATTTTCAAAGCTCAAAAACACAACGAATAAATTACATTATTTTTAAATTCACCACGGACCTTAATTCAAGTTCAAACCTTGCTCTATCATTTTCCGATAAGTATTTTGGGTCTATTTCATTTTAAAACATTGTTTTCTAATCGTAAATGAAGCGCTTATGACAGGACAGGCGCTCAGGCTACGACGTTTATAAGAGAAAGAAACAAACTCTAGGGCAGGGATCACCAAATGGCACACCGCGGTCCGCATCCGGACTGTGAGCTTGATTTTTGCGGACCGCCGTTAAATTCAAAATATAGTAATAAAATTTGATCAATTCTAAATATATAAAAATCTTTACATTTTTAAAATGCAGAGTACTAATAACATATAGAAATATTCGTAATCTTCCATAAAATTGTTGAACACTATAGTTGAAGCTTTTTAATTATCTTTTTCCTTGAGTTTATTGCATACCCCTCCCTAAACGAGGTGGCCTAGTTGCCTGGTTTCAACTAAACTACGTAACCAGGATGATCTCCTGAGGAGGGGTTACAACTACTAGAAGGTTTCTGGGTAACCCCCCATTGGTTACACCACTGCCTGGTTTAGTGCTGAGTGTCCGGACTGCGGAAGTGTAGTATGTTTTTGAAACGGACCTTCAGGGAATATAATTGGTGACCCCTGCTCTAGGGCAGTGGTCACCAATTATATTCCGTAAGGGTCCGTTTCCAAAACCTTCTACACTTCAGTGGGTCCGGACACTCAGCACTAAACCAGGCAGTGGCGTAACAGGTTAGGGGGGGGGGTTACCAAAAAAACCTCCAGTAGTTGTAACCTTCCCCAGGAGATCATCCTCGTTACGTAGTTGAAACCAGGCAACTAGGCCACCTCGTTTAGGAAGGGGTACATTAGTTTAATTAAATTCAAAATAAATAATAAGTCTAAAACTAAAGGTAAAACTCCTTACAAAGTTAAATTATTAGTGAGACAAATGGTACTTTTTATTTTGTACAACCTGTCTGAAATTTGGAGTTAATGCAACTGATTCTCATTAGGGAGCCAAGCTGTTATCTGTTAACCGAGATCTGTATCGACTTTAAAATAAAGTTCATTTTCGAAAAAGCGGCTTCGAACACATAAGCTTAGCCAAACATAGTACACAGTTTCATTGCCAAAGATTTTAATTCCGGGTATTTTTTGTCACACATATTGAATCCAAAATTTGCCTGCAAGCGTTTCTGGAACTCGAGTATAAACCTTCTTTAAAAAGCGGAATCTTCATGATACTCGATCATTTCCATCTGAAGGGCAGCTTTGTTACTCCAAAAAAATTTATTAATAGATATTTAGGTACTAAGGGTGTTATTAAGATGATTACGCACGGAGAGCATCATAATCCCGCCAGAGTGCTTCTGGAACAAGTGATGTGAAATTGTAACCTATAAACTGAAATCATCAGGATCTTCTAACTCTAATCCCACAAATAAGTCCCATTGCTCCTATAGTGATAATTTCCTGATTGAATTGTTCTTTTTCTAACTCGGCTGCACCGTACTGAAGACGGCCAATAGTTAGAAATACGTATATACGGTTGCCTTCTATCGATATACCTACTTTGTTTTCTATTTTCCTGTTTTACGAGACATGTCATTACATTTTACTTTCATTATTCACTCGCATTAAATTTTTCTATTTATTTTAAATGTTTTAAACGTTTGGTATTCCTTTTCTCAGGTAGCTGTAGCTTCCTCCGTGGTTATTGTTAGTTGATACCCTGGAAACCATCAGGCTCTTCTAACTCTAATGCCACAAATTGGTCGCATTGCTCCTCATGGCTTAAAAACATTAGGGATTGGACAAACCTCGATGCCCATGCACTCTTTAGAGTCACAAAAGATGGAGAGGAGTATTCCAGAATTGTCGCCAACATTCACTAATTGGATAGGGCACCATAACAAGAAGAATGCTTTTAGTGTTTATTTCGCATATTTGGATTATTTATTCGATTGCCAGAAGGTTCGGACAATAGCCATTTTTTGTTTGTTACATGGTTGTTTGCAATGTGTTCGCGAGAAGACGATCAGGTGGTTCCATGTTGTTGCTCATTTAGTTTAACCAGAAGAGTTTTACACCCCTCAGAAGTCACATTATTAAATATTTTATGTGCGTGCGTGTGGTTCTATGTTGTGTAGGTGTGGGTGTGGGTTTAGGCGTGGGCGTAGGCGTTGGCGTGAGCGTGTACGTGAGCGTGGGCGTAAGTGTAGGCTTAAATGAGGAAGTGGGTTCGTGGCTGGGGATGGGTGTTAATGTGAGTGTGGGTGTAGGTGTTTGTGTGTGTAGGTGTAGGTGTGGGTATTGGTGTGATTGTGTGGGTGTTTGTCTGGGTGTGGGTGTGCGTTTGATAAGATGGATAGCTAAATATGTAAACTGGTTCTACTTTATTGGGATAATTTTTTGGTTTACTGTTAATCATGTACAATTAACATAGTTTTAATTGTAATATAAGCTTATTTTTCGATGTTATCTTTGTTTTTCCGTTTTCACTTTAATTTTTTACTATATTTATAGGTATGCATCATACGCCAAATTCAATAATAAATAAATATTTTAACGATAGAAATATATTTTACATCATAATATATCTATATCAAATTATTTTTTATATAATTTAAATACGACCCATTATTTTTAAGATGGATTGGAAACATGTGTCAAAATTAATAGCTTTAGCTTCGGCATTTTCTCCTTGAGGTTTGCCGCATTTCTCTTGAAATTCTTTCTGACGATCCTTGTCATCAGTAACAGCTTCAACGTGTTGCTTGTACTGATCAGGAACAATGTCTCCATTCTGATCCATGATTCCCAATTTACGATGAATACAAAGAATTAGCTTGCCAGTATCAGGGTTTATATCTCCATTTTTAACGTTTTCGAGTGCGTCTACAATTGAACCTAATTCTTTTTGGCATTCAAACATCTTCCCGTATACTCTATCGCGTTCAGGAGTGGATCTGGTATGCTGAAAAAGAAAATGCTACATTAAAGCTAGAATAAAATAAGGCATAAAAAAATTAACAATTAAGTAACTTTTTTATAGTAGAGATTTGAATAATAAAAAATTAGAATATAGGGTCAGTGCGGGTAAATGGAAACAGGGGTGATTGGAAACAGTACAGTAAACAGTAAATGGAAACACCTGTTGGGGGTAAATGGAAACAACGTGGGGTAAATGGAAATCAATTTTTTCTGTTAAGGGAGTTATTTTGTTACAGGTCTTGCCATTTTTAAAATGCCGAGGAAGTACATAAGAAAGAGAGAACCACCAAAATACTCTTTGAATGATTTAGTAAATGCCGTGGCAGACGTCAAAACAAAAAAAGAATATATAGGGAGGCTGCTGCTTACTACAGTATTCCACATTGCGTTATTTACAATCCCATAAAGGGTAGAAACATACCAATTGATAAGATGGGAGCTGGTGTGTCTAGTGCATTGTCAGACAAAATTGAAAAGCATATTGTGACATGTTAAAAGCACGAGCTAATGTGGGCTATCCTTGCGATAAACAAGCGTTATTAAATATAGTTGGTGAATACGTTAGAGACAATTGCCTAAAAACTCGCTTTAAAGACGGCATCCCTGGTAAAGATTGGTATCTTGCATTTATGAAACGCCATCCTTCACTTTCGCTAAAGAAACCTGAGCATATTCAAAAACTTAGAAAAGATGCTCGAAAGCCAGGAATCATTTATGATTTCTATTATAAGCTAAAAGAAGTTGTTCAAAATAATGGCCTTAATAACATCAGTAAATCCATGTTTATATTTAATGCTGACGAGAGTGGATTTAATAGTAATCCCTCCAGAATTAGAGCTATAGGATCAAAGGGTAAAGCTCTATGCAGAGTTTCTGGCGATTCTGGATGGGAGTCCACAACAGTGCTCGCATGTGTTTCAGCAGATAAAAAATATTTACCACCGCTCATCGTTTTTAAGGGTGCTGCTGTCCAAGCAAGATGGGTATCACCAGAGGCCATGCCAGGAACTCTTTACGTTTCTAGCAAGAATGGTTGGATGAAAGAACCTCAATTTTACCATGGGTTTCTTAATGGATTTGTACCACACGTGCAAACAATTCGAGAGATACAGAATTTACCAAATCAAAAAGCTGTACTCTTATATGATGGCCACCGAAGTCATATAAGTATTCGAATAATTGAACAAGCATTAAAACATAACATTGACCTTATTAAGTTTCCCAGTCACTTAACAGACAAATTGCAACCACTTGATAAGTGTGTATTCAAATCAGTTAAATATACATGGGATCGAAAGTTAGTAGCATATGAAAAGAAGAGAATGAGAGAAGGTACTGGACGTTTATCTAAGGATAAATTCGTAGAACTTCTAAGTGAAACTTGGCAGGAGACTATGCTCTCACAAAATATTATATCTGGTTTTGAGACTACTGGTGTGTATCCTATAAATAGTAACAAATTTCATGAATCCGAATTTAATTCAGAGCGGCTTCAGTTTTATAAAGAAAAAATACTCTCCTCCAGACTTCTGGTAAAAATACTTTAGATCGGAATAAGGAAAATACTAGTGGATTTATTAACAAAACATTAATAAATAAAGCTGAACCATCATCTGCAACATCAATTGCAGAATTAGATATGTCTAGTTTTATTTCTCCAACCAAAGACAAACTGGACCGTATATTTCATATGGAATCAACAAGAACAACAAGAAAACTTGACTCTGACACAGTTAAAGAAATTACTCCCAAAAAGAAAAAGATAATCTCTCGGCTAAAACAGTTGGCCTATGGAGAAGTATTAACTGCTAGTGACGTTTTGAATAGAATGCAGGAACAGGAGGATATTAGAAAGCAGAAACGAAATGGAAAAAGAAATAAAGATGGAAAAATTGTTGATTCGGTTGAAACTCCAGTACCAAGTAAAAATACAAATACAAAGTACCGTAAAGAGTAATTGTCGTCATCTGATGCAAGTGAAACAGAAGTATCTTATGCTGAAAGTGATGACAGTCCATGGGATGAACCGGTAGAAGAAGAGCTACAAGAACTAGAGCCTGTAGAACACCACAAACTCCAGCAGGGGAAATTTGTATTGGTAGAATTCAAGGGTGGTAAAAGGCTGACAACATCTTACAGATATCTTTGTATGATCGAAGATATTGATTGGGATGAAAATGAAATTAAAGTTATAGCTCTAAAATGTATGAATGGTACCTGCAAGCAATTTGCCATACAGAAAACTGACATTAGTTTCGTCAACTTCCAACAAATTATTGGTATAGCCCCTGAGCCAAATATTTTTATGAAAGGTGAAAGAATGTTTTACAAGTTTCCTAATAAGTTAGATATTTTTGAACGTCAGTAAATAAGTGAATATTTATAATCTTAAAAATTCGTTTGTTATACCTATGTATTTTATTTTGATAATAATTTTTTTTTAAGTTTCCTTAGCACATTTGATATATTCGGGGGTAACTGGAAACATTGGCGTGTTTAATGGAGCCAACTTGCACGATTTTTAGATTACAAACCATGTATCATTTTACTCCAGTCTCGTTTAGATTATGTTTAACAGAACCAGAGATCGTTGTTTACATTTACCCCCTTTTTTAGTTTTTTTCTTAAAATTTGTGGGGTAAATGGACACATTGGATACCTCCTTTTTTTGTGACTTTTTCTTACTAGTTTTTAAGACATTCTACCGTAAACTTTTCGTATAATAGCCAAAAGCTTTTATTTTATTAAAATATGAAACAATATATTTTTAAATAAATTTCAAATGCTTAGACATCATGAAATTTCAAATAGTGTTTCCAATTACCCTGACTGACCCTAGGCGAGGAAATGTTCCTGCTGGGTGAGAATTCTTCTCGAAACTTTAAATATTAAGTAGTAACTTCTATCTAATTAATCTTCTAGATGGACTGATCTTTCAAGAAAGCTTTTCTTTTCTTTCGTTTGTTTTCTTCCACATCTCTAACGATTTCTCTTCTGTTATCAGTTGAAGCGATATCAACGATACGTTATAGCTAAGTAATATGAATGTTTTAGACATTTACTAATGACTCTTACACATACTCGCTAAATGTTTGTGCTGATGCTTCTTATATTGGTGCATAATATTCTGCAGCCGACGCACAGATTGCAAGTGCCGGTACTCTAAGGGTTTCTACCTTATTTTGGCAAACGTTTATTATTAAGCAACAATAGCTGACCCATTTGGATGGATGAATGTACGCTTTTTTGGTACGAATTGATCTTAAGTACAAAAAAAAATCCTTGAGATGAAAGAATTCATAAGGAGTGGTAACATCTAAAACGATAAGATTTAAAGCAATAAATACATATACATACGACTCTTCAGAGTATATAGATGGGTCAAATAGGTCAAAGATGAGTGCAGAAGGATCGCGTGCAGAAATATTTAATAGGAAAGCCAAGTTAAACACATCTATATCACCAAGAGAATATACCCCTGTATTTAATAATATTTATGCAATCTACTACCTTGTAATTAAAATTAATATTCTGGATTTCGAACTGACGTGGATATGGATATGCACAAATTGCCAAGCCGCTATAAAAGCTTTTTTAAACTCTCCTAGAAGGTGCACTATATGTAGGTTGGAAAACAAGCAGAAATTAGCTCAATCTTAACAATGTCCTTACTGGACATATACCAGTCAAAGGACACCTTCATGTAATAGGGCAGTTTCATGGAAACTTATGCTAAAAACTCTGTAGTTAAAAACCTGAAACAATCAACCGTATCTTAAATGACTGGGAGATAGGGTGTTGTGTAGGAAAATGAGAAGAACAGAACTTAAGTTGAGGAGAACAAAAAAAAAAGAATATCTAAACACAGTAAGGCAATGTCTTCTAAAAAACGGCTTTAAACTAAAAACTATCGATAAACGCCAAGTTCTTATGGAATCTGCTCGTTTACAAATATGAAGGACGAAGTTTTTAATTCAAATTAATAAATACAGAGAAATTGGAAGAGAAACTGTTTATCTGGATTAGACGTGGTTTGACACTCACGAGGTTAAAAAATATGGTTGGGCAGATCCTTCTGTTTGCTTTACAACAAAAGCTCCATCAAATAAAGGAAAACGTATTATAATAATATATGCGAGAACCAAAAATGGTTTTATACCTAATGCTTTAGCCTTGTCATGCAAAAACATCAAGGACTTCCGTGTCGACTATCATAATGACCTTACGTCACAATTATTTGAAAACTGGTTTTCAACAAAGTTGTTATCAAATATACCACCCAACAGTGTAAGTGTGATGTACAATGCCAGCTACCACAGTCGTAGATTGAATAAAGTTCCATGTTCTAATGACACCAAACTTAGAGTCCAGGAATATATGCTGAAAAATGATATGTATTATGAAGATAATTATTCCAAAAAATAATTACTTGAAACTTTAAAATAATTTTCCATCAGAAAAAAATATTATTGCGACAGTTTGGCGGAAGAAATGGGTCATACAGTATTAAGACTTCCTCCTTACTATTGCATTTTTAATCCGATTGAACACATATTCTTCTTCTTCTTAAAGTGCCTATCCGTTCCGTATGTTTGTCACTACAAGCTGTTCTTCAGTTGCAAATTCAATCAAACGGTCTCCGCATTCATTATGTTCCCCTAGAAAACCCACTAAATCCCACTAAATTTCCACAGTGTCCTTTGCCAACTTTGCCATTAAAGTCTCCCATTATTAGTATTATTTCGTTTTTCTGAATCCGTTTGACAATATTAGTAAGGTCATTGTAAAATTCTTCTATAATTTCTTCTGGGCCGTCCGCTGTAGGAGCGTATACTTGAATAATGTTTGTTTTTATGGGAGTTGTGTTTAGCTGAACTAAGAGCATCCTTTCTGATACAGGTACAAAGTGACTGACACTATTGGCGATTTTATTATTCATAATTAGGCCCACTCCATTTATATGTTCGTTCTTAAGATTTCCTGAGTAGAATATTTTGTGATCTTTGATAACTCGGTATCCCGTATCTGTCCAGCGCATTTCGCTTATTCCCATAATACTAATCGAGAGTCTTTCCATTTCTTGAATGGCGTTATAGATTTTTCCCGCCTCGTACATTCTTCTAACGTTCCATGTACCTATCTTTATGGCTGTTCGAAATACTGTCAGAGATCCATCATCTAGAATGTAGTCTGGTTCGTGAGGATTTCTCTTGATAACGACCTGGAAGTCCTCACGGTTTGAGCTAGATTTACCTTCTCTGCCGGATCTTGAATTTCGATTTTCATGATCAGTAGTCGGAATCTTAAAGTTTTTTATCACCATGATAATTGTACTAGAGATACTTACAAGAAGTCTTTAATGCAGTGGTTTCTCCTTGCCTTCTGCATCCTTATGCCGTTCACTAAAAGTCTTAGTTCCTCCGCCTTCGAAGCTGATTTCTCAAACTCCAGGACAACAGAGTGCCCTAAAATCGCAGTATTACAGCCGCTTAACTCATAATGTGAGTGTCGCCTGTGAGTAGCTGGAATTAAGCCTACAGGATTTTTACTTCCCACAGCCTTAATCCAGTAATGACATTACTGCAGCCTAATGTCATATCCTCAGTTGATCCGCGGGTACTTATTTGGCAATGCCTTATTCGTACCTGTCCTGCATATCTGCAGGAACTTTCCCTATCAGCCATATGGGACGTGTCGTGTCGGGGTTGAGGATATCCCCCGCCCAGTCTATCTTTCATGAAGTACAGAAGAGCCCTTACTCAGTTCAGAGCTCCTCCTCCACGAAAGCTGTGACCGGTCACGGCACATATTGCATGAGCTAAAAGCACTGGTACGGAGAAGTACAGTTTCGTGTACCCTAAATTAATCTGTGGTTCGTCTAATTGAATTAGAAATGGAGAAAATAACCAATGACAGCTAGAAAAATACAGATAGGTTGCTCAAAGAAACAATTATTATTATATATTTAGATAACGACAGTGATAGTGAACCTGACTTGTCCATATGTATTATTTTAATATAAGTATTTTCTTGAATTGTATTTATACGTGGCAAACTTTCTATGTATACGTAATTTATGTAAATATTTTTAAATTCAGTTGATAATGGTGTAAAGCCATCTTTTAGACACACCTTGATTTTGAACACAATTTTCTAAAATATTTTTGCCTCTGTTCTTGTACTCTATGTAGAAATGATAAAGTTTTGTAAATATGTGAATGTAGTGTATGTTAATATTTTTGCAACTATTGTAACTGTAGTAGACAATGATAAAAACCGGATTTAAAACACACATACCAATCGAATAAGTAATGCAAATCGAAAATAAAAGTACGATCCTGTCCAGAGGCGATCCCTGCTGCCTTGTTTTAGACACTTATCGATAGTAAATATTATAGACTCTCTTAGATATCGGGTAAGACTATATTAATATTTCATACTATGAAACATTAGACCAAGCTACAAGAGAAAGAAATAGCTATAGGTAGAAAAGCCATACAATAACAGCAATTTTATAAAACCAGCCCATCACCAAAGGAAATGAGGATATATGAGATTATAGTGAAAAACATTACTCTATACAGCTGTGAGGTATGGTCACTGAATGAAAGAACATTGCCAACGCTAACAGCAATGAAAATATAATTTTTAAGAAGAGCAGTAGGACGATCTAAAAGAGAAAGGATTAATCTTTTTTAAATAATAAAGGATCCACAAGGAAAACAATTCCTGTAGCTGGCTGTATACCACGTATCACAAAAAAGAGGTTAATCTTCGTAAATGGGTATATTTAAAAAACACTTAAAAGGGCTACATAAAAAAACAAACGTTTTCGGAATAAACATTCCATCATTACGTTTAAAAATGCTAGGTTAAAATGCCTGAGCCACCAAAATATCAGGATAAAAACCCTTTAAATTACCTGTAGTTTTAAAAGATTGACAGTGACCAAACATTGACAGTGACCACTTTCTTGTAATGGCAAAAATCAGAGGAAGAATATCAAACCTAAAGAAAGATAAACGCACGAAACAAGACAGAATTAATGTTGATAATCTGCGCATTGAAACCGTTGCGAGAGAGTATAGGAGACAAATGGACGAGGAAATGGAGAGCTTGGAGATGGGGGAAAATGTAGAGGAACTGTGGACAAAATGTAAAAACATAATAACTAAGAAAGCAACAAAAATATTGGGGAAAACCAAACCAGTTAAAGAAAACGAATGGTTTGACAAGGAGTGCCAAGAAGCAACAGATAACAAAAACAGGGCATACCTAAAGACAAATCAAGCTGGATACACAAGAAGAGCAAAGGAAGAATACCGGACACAAAGAAGAGAAGAAAAACGATTACATAGAAGAAAAAAAAAGACAATTTGAGCAAAAGCAGTTGGAAAGCACAGAATGGCTAAGAAATCAAAATGAAACTCGAAAGTTCTACAGAAATCTAAACAAAATGCGCAAAGAGTTTAAGCCAAGAAAAAGGAGCTGTAAGGATGTAGAAGAAAACATCCTAAATGATACAGCCCCAATCCTAAACAGATGGGTTGAATTTTTCGATGCAAAATTTAATGGCCATCATATCGAAGAAGCAGATAACACCCTAGAAAATCGAAATGATTGGAATCCTTTCAACCCAAACTAAAGACCACCTACCATCGAAAACGTTGCCCAAGCCATTAAAAAGCTTAAAAATAATAAATCACCAGGAGTTGATCAAATTTGCAGTGAGCTCTACAAGAATGGTGGCGATGCCCTACTACAGACACTGCATAAGCTTTTACTTCTTGTTTGGCACAATGAGACCATGCTTTGTGAATGGTCTCAAGGCATGATATGCCCGTTACATAAAAAAGGTGACCAGCTCCAATGTGACAACTATAGAGGTATAACCCTGTTAACAACTGCTTACAAAATACTAGCAAATATTCTCTACGAAAGGTTGCAAGTTTACACAGTGGGCATAATTGGTAAATATCAAGTTGGATTCATTCCAGAAAAATCAACAATTGACCAGATTCATTCAATAAGACAGATTCTCGAGAAAACATTAGAATTCAATATTGAAACCCATCACCTATTCGTCGACTTCAAGGCCGCATACGACAGTGTCAAGAGAACAGTGCTATACCAATCAATGCATGAGTTTGGTATAACAGAGAAACTTATCCGACTAACGAGAATGACAATGTCTAACTTAGAAGCCACTGTTAGAATACAGGGAGAGAGTTCTAGATCCTTTGAGATAAAGGATGGACTCAGACAAGAAGATGCTCTGGCTTGCCTCCTATTTAATATTGCCTTAGAAAAGGCAGTCCGAGATACACGAATTAGGGATGGCGGTACTATTTACAATAGATCGATACAAGTCTTAGCATATGCTGATGACATTGACATAGTAGGGCGTAGCAAGCGAGATGTTGAGCAATATCTCCTAGAATTGGAAACAGCGGCGAAACAGGTCGGTCTAGTCATCAACGAAGACAAAACCAAGTACATGTTGGTTACAAAGGATCCGATAGTAAATGAGGAACGAGAAACAGTTTTTGGAAGTCATACCTTTGGACGTGTTGACAACTTCACATACCTTGGGTCGCTATTGACTGCTATCAATAAAACAAGCGAAGAAATCAAAAGACGAATAAATCTTACAAATAGGGCATACTATGGACTCCAAAAGCATTTCCACTCAAGAAATATTCAAAGAAAAACTAAAATTATTATATACAAAACATTGCTGAGGGCGGTCCTCACATATGGAGCAGAAACATGGACTCTAACGCAGAAAGATGAAAGACTTTTGGGAATATTTGAGCTTAAAATACTCCGCAAAATATTTGGAGCTGTAAACGATTAAGGGCAGTGGCGCAGAAGATATAATTTTGAATTGTATCAGCTCTTTGATGAGCCAGATGTCATAACGTTCATTATAATACAGCGACTTAGATGGGTTGAATACATAATACGAATGCCAGAAAATACCATTGCTAAAAAGATAACCACAGGAACACCTGTAGGAAAAAGAAGCATAGGCCGACCGCGAATTAGGTGGTTAGATGGAGCAGAAACCGACTTACGAATATTAAAAATCAGAAGATGGCAACATGTTGCCAAAAACCGAACAGAATGGCGACGAATCTTAGAGCAGGCCAAGATCCACAGAGGATTGTCGAGCCAAAGATGATGATGATGAGTTTTAAAAGATTGTACATAATGTTGTTATAAATCTGTGATGTTAAATATTAAATTAAATTTGACTTCAGGTAACATACACCCATGGTTAAAGTGAGTTCCAGTGTCCGGAGAGTAAACCTCTTCAAACGGACTACAGCTGGTAACTCTCTGCTCTGCTCAGCTGGTACAGTTTAAGGGTTTAAGTTTAAGGGTAAGCTGGTACTACTTTTAAGGGTTTTTGATGACTTATTAATAACAGTTTTCTGCTTCAGACATATAGAGAAAATGGATGAACACCGAATACTAAAGGAAATACTAAAAGGCAAACAGAAGATAAAAGAAAACAAAGTAGACCGAGAACAAGTTAGATAGAAGGAACTGACAAAGAAGTGAGAGAAAGAAATATAGAGGAGGATATATAGAATGACCGGACGAAGTGGCGATTGGAAGTCAGACAACAGCAGAGAACGTTATAAATCACATGTAGTAGTAAATTGGATTAGTAATGACAATAATAACTAGTATGATACAAAATAATTTATCACAATATAAAACAATTCTTACCGCTGTTACGCAGACCATAGCGATAATTAAACAATACGCTAGTTTCATTTTGGCTTAGTTGATTTGAAGCATAGACACTAATTTATTTTCTTTCACAGGTCTATTTTATAGATATTTTTGAAACAACAAAAAGTATCAGGACCGTACGAATTCCTTTGTAAGAGATTCCAAGTGTATTCGAAATTTTCTTAAAATAAATTATTGTTAATACAATGGGGTAACTTAATTTTATAAGTACACAATAATATTATATAAGTAGGTAAGAATGAAAATTAGATACTAAAGATGGATCGCTTTTTCATTATATATACTAAGTGACATGGAAATCCGAACACCCAGTTTAAATGATTTTATTTCAATAAAATTTGGTGTAATTTATTTATCTTACTGAAAAAAAAGTGATAAAGTTTTTAGCCTTATCAGTTGGAGATTTCGATTTTTATACTTTTTGTTTTTACATCCACTAACAATCTAAAAATGAATATTTTAGCCACAGTAAAGATCCTTTATTGGTGGATCCTTAGTTTGCTGGATTGTGGTTCTTGACATTCTTTACGATTGGTTACGATGCCTAGAGTACGGAGACCTGTACGATTTCGTCAATTTAGTGAGTTTATATATATAATGGGATCGTATAATGGGACTTCGGGAAGCTGGACTTTCTTTTCGGGACGTTGCAGTTAGAGTGCAAAGAAGTGTATACACCGTGGTTAGGTGTTGTCAGGCATGGTTTCAAGAAGGCCGTATGCAAAGAGCAAGGGGCACTGGACGCCGCCGTAAAACAACAGACCGTGAAGATCGCCGCCTAAGATTATTGGCCTTAAGAGACCGTTTCTCCACTACCAGCTCCATTGCAAATGAATGGTTTGCAGAACACGGAAGACCTATTGGCATGCGAAATGTTTACCGACGAATGAGAAGTTTTGGCCTGTTTTCATACCGACCACACTGGGTCCTCCCTTTAACTTCAGAACACCGCCGTAATCGCCTTCAGTGGTGCAGAGAACGGTCACTCTATACTCAGGAATGGAACAGTATTGTCTTAAGTGACGAGTCTTGATTTTGTTTAGGCATGCACGATGGTCGAGCGAGGGTTAAAAGGCGACGTGGTGAAAGGTGAAATCCACAGTTTTTTGTTGAAAGATATGTTCATCACACTGTTGGAGTTATGGTTTAGGGTGGTATAGCTTATGGTTCCAGGTCACCTTTAGTCTTCATCAGAGGTAACATGAACGCGCAGTGTTATATCCAAGAAGTTCTAGAACCCCATCTTTCCAACAAGATAATGCCCGACCACATGTTGCAAGAGTTACAATAGACTTCTTTCAACATAATGATTGTCACATTGTTAGCGTGGCCATCAAGATCTCCCGACTTATCTCCAATAAAGCACGTGTGGGATATGATGGGTAGGAGATTTCTTAATTTGCAACGTGTTCCTCAGACTCTACAAGCACTTCGAGTGGAGTTGGTGATTGCCTGGAATGAGATACCACAAGAGGACACTGACCACCTGATCAGAAGCATGCCTAGGCGCGTTGGAGAATGAGTAACACATAGTGGGTTATCCACACATTATAAAAGGTAAAAGGGCTTTAAAGCAATGCAATAATTTTTAAATTTTAATCATTTACTTATTATGCTTCATTAAGTACTTATACAAAATTTTATTAAAATAAAATCATTTAAACTGGGTGTTCGGATTTCTATGTCACTTAGTACACGAGTAAACTATTGAATTTTTGTCCACGACCATTACGTAGGAAACACGTTGAGAGATCAAGTATAGTACATTCAACCAACTTACACCTCTAGACGATTAACGGAATTCGCAGAAAGCCTTTCGTTGCAGGAAAAGGCACGGCAAATTGCGGTGGTGTTCTCAATAATGTTTACACTTTGCTAAATTTCAGGTATAAAATAAATATATGTGTCATTCACCCCTTGTTAATAGTTTTGCATATTTTGTTACATTAAGTAACTGGAACGCCAGTTGCTGGCATAGGCCAGTAACTGGCAAGCACAAAACACATTTGCTAGTAATTGGCATGCCAGTAGCTCGCTTGCCGATACAAGCAAGGCGAAAAAGCAGGGTAGATTTTTACACATGCCAGTGCTACTAAACAATCGAGTGGTTTTCATCTGAAACTAAAGTACCTGTTTTGTAATTAAAAGATTTTGAGTTTCTAACAAAAAAACAAGAAGGGATTTATGGAAGGTATTCGGAATGAATTCAAAAAGCAAATATTGCTGACGACCACAGATATTGTTACAAATTTGATTTCGAAGCGGAACTCAAAATAAATGGATGAGAAATTGAAGTAGAAATTGAATATCTTCACCCATTTCCTCTTGAATTTTTGTGTAAGCATTGTCACGGGCTATTTTATTTTTGTGTAAACATGATTTATAATTCAAAAGACACTTTATTTATTCTTTACACATTCTTTATATATATAGCAATAAATTTGATGTTTTTTCATCATCCCAACGAAACATTTTTTAAATTAAGAAGTTTAAAAATAAAACATTTTATTTTTATCACCAATACAACAAATCTGACAATTTTTGCTAGCTACTGGCATCTCTGTTAATTAAAACAGCTCTGTAAGGAACTACTGAAACTTGCCCAAAATAAATTAGTTGCATTGAGTTGTTTATGCAACAAAAATCAGTTTATTTTAAAATATGCAATAATAAGCAATTGTACTTTATGTTCGTATGTAATTACCTTTGTGTGGTATTTTTTTTTAAACAAATGTACAGTAGAGCCCCGATTATCCGTGTGCGGATTATCCGGGCTGCGGATTATCCGTGCAACTTAACATTGAATTGGCGTTTTATCAGAATGGCTTCGCCGCAAATTACTACGCCGTGGGAAAGGCGCATAATTTAATATCCATAGTGTCAGTGCTCGGGGAATCCCTGGAAACCGGTAGCTTGTAATATGCTGCTGCCTACGTGTTACATCGAATGTTTGATATTTAATACATATTTTCATAGTTGGAAGCTAGAAATCGGTCGCTTCTCTGATTATTCGTATAATGTGTTTTTATTTTCAAAATGTCAACAACCACTGTTAAACGAAAGACAAGTGTTTTAACGATTGAAGAAAAACTAGAGATTTTAAACAGAAATGAAAAGGGTGAAAGTGTGACATCATTATCACGGAGCTACGAAGTTGGTAAGCAAACAATACGCGATATTAATAGAAACAAATTGAAAGTACAAAATTTTATATCTGTATGGAAATCGTTGAAAGGATCGACTTTTCAACAACTCGATGAAGCGCTTTCCAAGTGGTTTCTGCAGAAAAGATCTGAGGGCGTACCAATTTCGGGAACAATGTGTGCTAAACAAGCGGAGATTTCATGGTTTGTTCCAGTTTCACTTAAAAAAAAAAGAAGTAAAATACCTTAACAATTATTGTAATCTATTACAATTTTCACGTTTAACCGCAATCTCTATGCAATTTCTAACCACTATGATCAGCAACAGTGGCACACTGTTATAATACACCTTTGGAGTTTCAGCAACACATACCAAATAGTTTCAAATTTCTACAATACAGAATACTAATTGATAAAACAACCTAAAATAATCTTCTTGCCCGATTTACTCAAAACGGCAATTGTTGACTTATGACAGTGTTGTTGCTGAGGTGCGATATATAACGAAAAGTATTTGAAATTCTAATTTATATTTATTTTAGCCTCTTTCGAGGAGGTACAATAATTAATCCATGTGACAGAGAAAATTGAGAGAGTATTATCTTATTAGTTTTATTAATCCATCACATCACATCACATTATAGTTATATTTTAGAAACTTGTTGGGTACGTATTATAAGTGTAATTGAGAAATTAACTTTAAACAAATGCTTATAAGGAAGTGTAATTGTGTAGAACGAAGTATAATTATGTAGTCAGAACTTCTATTGTATATTGTACATATATTTAATTCAATCTAAAAATGTCCAAAAGAATTACCAAAATTTCAGAAATGATAACATTTTGACTGTACTAGATCATTTAAAAAAATACAAATCGGCATGACGATGAAAATGACGAATGTCGAGATTATAATAATACAGTCCGATGCTGCTTTCATTGCACTTGTTATTTACTAAAGATAAACTGTAATAAAAAACTCTACGTATGTATTAGTTTTTTTCCTAAGTTGTAATATTTTCCATGAACTTTCAACCCTTTATCGATAAAATTATTTCACAATGCATTAAAAAATGTAAAATGTGATTTATGGTGTCAGTTTGGTACAACAAAAAATATTTAGCAAAAATTAAATAAAAAAATATTTTAAAAATAAAACTCACAAAACCAAAAGAAAGCGACTTTTGAATTTGTAGCGAAAAAGTCACAATGCCAGTTTGAGGTCCAGTCTTTTGAAGCAATGCAACAAAGGTGGGGAGTAATGTGGAAATCAGATTATCAAATATTTTATTTTTATTTACAATAAAATATATTAAAAAACCATATTTAAGAAAAGTAATAACATATGAAATTTTTCCAAAAATATTAGAAATAATCCCTGAGTAAAAGAAATGTTTATCCTTTATTGTGAAAAATAAAAACAGTTTTAATAAAAACAATTTACGTAAACTTGATAGAATTCAATTTAAAGCTCTAAGGATTGTGTTAGGATTGATGAAAAGCACTCCAAATGAAGCCACCCTAGCTCTAGCATCTGAAAATCCTCTCTCATTGCACAGAGAATATCTGGCAAGCAAATATTTCCTAAACCAACATTATCGTGAACCTTATAATGTAAAAATAATTAATGAATTAAATACAGCTGATTTAACATCTACATACTTTACTAAAAAAAACTCTCCACCACATGCAAGAGCAATTATAACTTGCAACGAACTGAAGTTAATAAATTTCCCTTGTAATCTTATCTGGGAATCGTTGGATATACCACATCTAACAAGTGTTCTAGCTACAAATATTATTATCCCTAAATACCAAAACGAATTTTGCTACAGTACTCTTAAATAAATCTTAAGTGGCTATTGAGATCATATTGTGATCTATACAGACGGGTCAAAATCACCAACAT